ACAAGGAAATTACAGGGATATATTTGGTCTTATTCTACATGTATCTTTGTGCAAAGATATATAAGTAAACTCAACTACAACGAATATTGCAATAATCCCGTTCCTAATGTTCTATAAGAACCTCAAGCATTCATGTTGAGTACCTCAAGTATCAGATGTAATTCATAGAACCTCTAGATCTAGTACATGTAGACACGACAAATATTAACTTTATCTTTTAACCTCTTTTCATTAATATACTGTAAAATGGCAGTGTGTAAAAAAATTGCTCCAAGTTGGCTACCCTCGTCCAGTATTCCCTTCTAAATTTATGACTAAAGCCGCATCAAGTGCCGGTTTTAGATGGTTCATTTTGAACAGTTGAAGTACAATAGAAAGTATGAAATGGATGTTAAATGTATAGCATAGAAGTACTGAACAAGTGTTGTGAAGTTCGTGCGTTTTCATAAGGAAGTCATTGACCTACCAAGAAAATCGGTTAAGACAAGTAAAATCTCATTTAACATTAAACATTACAGTCATTCAATAAACAAGATCACGTATTATTACATCTAAGTCCCACCACAAAATGCATCAGGAAGTTCTTCATCAGTTGTGGTCTCCAATCCTCTGAAATACTTCTTGGAACCATCATTGGGTTTTCTACGAACTTCTCAATTTTTGTCCCTTCTTCATGGTCCAAGACTGTGACCTTGTTCTCTTTCGCCACTATTTCCATTGTTGGGTGCGCCCCTACCATGCTATATCGGCCCTAAATAAACCATGACATAAGAATTTAGAGGAATCCCCGAATACTCATGCATGTGCTCATCCATTTCCAATCGAATGAAGAATTTTGAGCAAGATTTCATTTTCTTACAACAGTGGTTGTGCGGTAACCAGGCTTGACAGATTCAATGAGGAAGCTCGGAGCCTCTCAGTCTTCTTCCTTAACCAAACACCGATAAGCAAGCATCGGTGTCAACTGATCCGAGAAAATGATTTCGCACAATGGAATTAAGTTCCCATTTTTTGATGCTTCAGTGAACCTCTTCTCATCCAAAACTGAGATTTAAAAACGAAGCAAACGTACAACATTAAATTTAATCATACCATCTAACAACATTTGAAAAAAATAAAAACAAATGCTAGCGGTAAAATTCGATCATCATTCATCACCAAACTCTTGTTTACCTATCTAATAACTAATAAAAAATAAAAATAAATTTTAAACTACAATTTCTTTTTTAACAATATTAAGCCCCTGTTTGGGCTCCATCTAAATGTGTTTACGGGGAAAAAATATATATTTTGAAGAATACGTGGATTATAAAGAAGAGAAAAAAAAAAAAGCAATTTGCATAAAATGAATCCCAAACAAGGGCTAAATAAGTTCATCATCTAAACTCTTTTTAACTCTCAATTGAACTGGAAAATAAAAATCAGAAAATTTCGATTCAGAATTATAATTAATTTTCATTTCCCTGTTCTTCATAGTCTCACCGACTCAAGGAAAAGTTAATTCTGTAAATTGACTATAGAAAATAGAAATGCATGTCAATGCAACAGGAAAATTGCAAAAACAATTAAATATATGCAAACATACACACATACACCTATGGTCACACACTTAAAAATGCAGAGAGAGAAACCTAAATATGGAGACTGAACGGAGCAGCATTGGAATTTACGGAACCCAAATGAAACGAACGAGATTGAGCTTCTTCTACTCGAAATGCCAGTTACCAGAGACAGCCGGTGTTTCGCTGGGAACAGCCGGTGTTAAAAATTAGGTGCTTGCATTTTCCAAGCGTTACGTTCAACAAACACTGTGTGAGTTTGAGTTTGAGAGAGAAAGCAGATTGGATGAAGGCATGTGGTTGACAGAACTCTGGTTGCAGGCAAGTAGGTGTGGGGAATAAGATATCTGAATTACAAGTAGAAATTTGAAAGAAGTATGCGAAAGAAATGAATTATGGAGCGTATTTCTCGGGCAAGCATCAAAGAGAAAATCCTAAGATTCCTTCTTTCCTTGTTCAGACACTGCTCTATAAACCCTAAATAAGTAAAACTTCAACATTCAACTGAGAGATATTAAATATGGAAAACGACATTTGAACCAAAGAGGCATCAGATTTTGAACCAAATAGGTCTAGTTTGTTTTAGAGTTTGTTGGTTTGTTACAGTTTGTTAGTGAATAAGTTCAAATTGTTAAGTCATGCTGATTTTTTTTTTCCCTAATTGTAGCTTAATTTTTGCATTATTGTTCAATAAAAGGGCAAAAAAATCTGTCAATATCATTCTTCTCTTCAAGTCAAATTAATTCATATCAATCTCTTCCTCCAAAGAAAAGATTTTTCAGTTTATTACTGTATCACATTCACACCGCCATCTAGTCTTCTGTTTCTCCTTTATAGAGAAGTTCTTCAAACTTTTAAGGAAGGTTAACTTGTTGAAAGAAAAAAAAAGCGAAGGAGATTATTCGGCTATTACTGTATCACATTCACACCATATTCCGGCACCAGCTAGTCTTCTGTTTCTCCTTTTTAAACTTTTAAGGGAGGTTAACTGGTAGAAAAAAAGCGAAGGCATTTCATTTGCTTCTTCAGAGAGGTAATTACACACAATGAGTGATACCCAGTAGTGTTTTTTTTTTTTACACCCTCTTATTTGGACTTTTGGGTAGAAATCGTTGTTGGAGACTGTATGTGATAATTAATTAAGATTAAATATATGAATACATTGGAAAAAATTAGATAACTATTTAAGTCAGATAGGTCCTCCGGTGGTGGTGGCGGCGGCGGAGGCCTTTGTTTTGGCGACAGAGGTGGTGCTGCTGCAGCGGTGCCAACAGTCGTTTTTCTGGTTTCTATTTCTGCTCATGTACTTGAGGTTGGAAAACCAGGCATTTGGCATCATATCTGATAATCTAAACTTGTAATTTCCCATTGAACTCGGAATTTTTTTTTGAGAGGTATTGTATGTTAAAATAGGAGAAATAGTCTGTGTGTGTTTGGGAGTAGAGGGTGGTGCATAAATAGAAATGTGGGGATCATGAGGCCCACCAAGGAAGAAAAGTTTGTAGTGGGCGATTTATCTTGGCATTTTTTAGCCTAATAATTTGCTTCTTGTGATGATTTATGAGTTTAAGGTGGTGTATTAATAGTTAATACACACTAGTTATCGACTTATCCTAGAGGATTCTACATACTCGGCTGAATTTTGAATTTGAGATTACAAAAAATGTTAAATTTATCGGTACTTATTTGTCCAAATGTTAAATTTTGCATGATTACATTTGACTGAAAACTAAACTTTCAAGCAACAGATGGATGTAGAGATAATGGAAATCAATGACCAACCTCAAGAACCACAACCAGGAGAAGGCACCACACTGCCACAACCAGAAGAAGGCACCACACTAATCCGAACCTGCTTTAATGGGATAAATGCCTTATCAGGTCCCTCTTCTTCTTTAACGTGTACATACCCCTGTACAGGTCAAATTGCTTGTATTTCCTTTATTGATACTGTATTTATTGAAAAAGTAGAGTACTACCAGTAGTTACTGAGATTTTGACTCTGCAATTCATTTATCCTACTGAAAAAGTGATTTTGTGAAGAGATAATGTTTTGAACATATTCATACCAATACTATTTTTCACAAAGTGGTGAAGGAACGTTATCTATTCATTCATAGAACTATTTACAGAGAAGTCTAAAGTTTGGTAAGAGGTATTAGATAATAATTAATGTTGTCGATTCTAGTCTAATATCTCCGATGTGGCATTAAGGCCAATTAAGTGCATGGACATAAAACTCGGCCTTATAATTTAATGTCTTATGCAAAACATGTTTGTACTAAGATTCAAACTAACTTGATTATTTTGTTTATCAGGCATTGGAATATTGTCTATCCCATATGCACTTTCACAAGGAGGGTGGCTTTGTTTGATATTACTTCTCTTGATTTCCATTCTTTGTTTTTACACTGGGTTACTTATAAAACGGTGCATGGATATAAATCCTGAAATTAAAACTTATCCCGACATTGGTCAACTTGCCTTTGGGAATAAAGGGAGAATAATTATATCCACTTTTATATATCTTGAACTATTCTTGCTCGCGGTTGAGTTTTTAATATTAGAAGGTGATAATCTACACAAACTCTTCCCAAATATACATTTGCACATTCTCGGGAAAAATATTGGAGGCAAGCGCGTGTTTGTCGTGCTCAGTGCGCTTGGTATGTTGCCAACAATATGGTTGAATCAATCCTTGTTGGCTTATGTTTCGGTCAGTGGGATATTGGCTTCTGTTATCCTAGTTGGTTCTGTCTTTTCAGTAGGGGCATTTGAAGGTGTTGGTTTTAAAGAACGAGGAGTCCTTTGGAGATGGAATGGACTACCAACCGTCATAAGCATGTACACCTTCTGTTATTGCGGTCATGCAATATTTCCGACGCTTTGTAGTTCCATGAAAAATAGAAGCAAATTTCCTAAGGTAAGTTGTACAAAAAATACTGTAAAAATCGACTTTCACAATCTTTATATACCTTTTGAGTATCTAAATTTTGTGTACCTTTCTTTTCCACAGGTTTTGCTTATATGCTTTACAATAAGCACTATCAGCTATGGATCAATGGCAGTCTTAGGATATGTTATGTACGGAGAAGATTTGATGTCCCAAGTGACTCTAAATCTTCCAACGAGGAGCGTTGGTTCAAAAATCGCCATCTATACTACGCTCATAAATCCTATAACCAAGTATGCCATCATTGTTTCACCAATTGCTACTGCTATTGAAGACAAATTGAGTTCGCATAGTAGCAGACCAGTAAGATTGACCATTAGAACAGTTTTGGTGAGAACAGTCTTGGTGATCAGTACAGTTGTTGTGGCGTTATTCATTCCATTTTTTGGAAGTATAATGGCATTTATTGGCTCGTTTCTTGGCATCAGCACCTCGATCTTGATCCCGTGTCTATGTTATCTGAAGATCGATAAAGCTTCTCGAAAATTTGGGTTAGAGTTAATCATCATCGTAGTAGTTCTGGTTCTTGGCTTTTTTGTGGCCATGACGGGAACGTACATGTCTTTAAGAGATATTTTTAAAAATGTCAATACAAAATAAATATGCTGTTGTCAATAGTTGTATGATAATGGCCCTGCTCCTAGTGGTCCCAGGATTGAGAAGGTCGATTAAGCTCATGGTGTTCCCTAGTATTGTTCTTAGTAATGTCTGTATATTTTGGTTTATTTTTGTCGTATCTCATTTTGTTTTTACTTGGTATTTTGGAAGCATCCGCAATTCCTCCTTATTCAATGCATGCTCAAGATATTATGCCATTTTCAAGCAAGTGTTATTATTTACATTCACAATACTTTTAATCTTGTAATTTGCATGCTTACAGTTTTCTTATGTGGATAGCGTTTACTTAGCCCCCGTTTGACACCCATTTTTTATCTTATTCTCATTTTCATTTTTTTACGGTACTCATTTCTAACCACACATTCTCCGAATAAAATAATATTACACATAAACCCAAAAATTCTTCTTACTTTTTAACCGCACATTCTTTACATCAATCACTATTCAAAAACTCATTCTTCAAAAGAATGGGTGTCAAACACCCACTTAAATTATTCTTTGTTCACAAAATTAAAACAAATACTTATAAATGAATGAGTTTTTAAAAAAAGTACCATTTATGGATCAAAAGTGACAATTTTGACTTTGAGGTCATAATTACATTTAAATCGGGTTTGGGTCTCCAATAACGACTATATTTTTCATTCTCATTCTACAAAAAGGTGGGTCAAACAAGAAATAAAAGTGATATTTAGTTATTTCTAAGCTTAACAAAATAAATATCGATCATAATAAATTCTAGAATATATTTTAACTCGATTTCCTAAAAGAAGAATGTATTTTGATATGTCCCAATAATTACTCTAATTACATATTAATTATTTCTTTCATGGATTTCCTCACTAATTGCATGTATTTGTTGATACCCTGTGTCATAGTTACTTAAAATTAAGAAGAAGGAAAATTTTGAACTTGTTTATGAGTTTTCGTTAGAGATAATATGAAATGATTATTTATCTTTATCTTGTAGAATAATTTTAAATGGTTATCATAATCCTATAGATAACTTGTTGTGTCATTGCCGATAATATAGACATTCAGTTTCATAGCCCACCACCCCCCGGTGGGGCCCGCAATTTTTACTGTAGCACAATCTGAATTAGATAATTTTTATGTTAAATTAGATCGGTATGGAGTATACACGTACATTCAGCGATATTGGGTATCAAAATATGTGGGACTGCTCAAATAGTTATCATCGGTTGGTCCTACAAGCTGTTTATAATTTTTTCTCATTTTCATTTTTGAAAATTTAATTCGATTTAGATTAAAATCGAAAAATTTGAATCAACAATGTTATATTTAAAAGACAGTCATGTTCCTTCAAATTTGTATTTACCTAAAGTTTTCAAGAAATCAAGTCTATGTCGTGTCCGCATAAGTCATTAGACTCGACAATTTAGCTTAGCACGACTAGCAAATTAAGTCGTGAACCATCTTGATCAAACTGGACCAATTTTAATTCAAGTTATCAAAACTGTACCTGTAACTCTGCATGCCAAAATTGTAGTTGTCCGATCATGTGTTTGGAAGACAACACGAGAAGCTTATCTATAAATCTCATTCATGAAGTTAAAAAATTTTTAATCTTAAAAAAAAATAGAGAAAATCACTCAAAATCGTGATTGGTTCCCGGTTTACAGTTGAACCGGCAGGTTCAGTGAGTTTTGAGTGGTTTTGTAATAATCAATTAACCAGGCATGGTTTGGCCCGGTTTTGGATCCGGTTCCCGGTTTTACGGGTCTAATCGGCCGGGCCGGGACGATTTTGACAACATTGCTTGAAACATGTAACAAAGAATACAATTGATAGGCTAACTGCTATGAACAAATAATAGGTCAACCCTTAAAGATCTTTGTATTTAAGATTGCGATTTTGAAGGGGCATTCCTTTCACTGATCTTCCTCCTCATTCGAGTTATATATGCTTCATCTCTTCTTCATGCCTCTTCTACTATTTATTGTTAGAATTCTATACACTTCCTCTCCTCTTCGACCCTCTTTTCTTCTATTTGTTGTTTGAACTCTATACTCTCATGCTATCAATCTTATCTCTTTTATTTAAAATTATAACCTTTCTTATAAGCTAATAAATATGACGCTCGCACTTTGTGTGAATTATAAGATAACATAAGTAGGGTGTTCCCTTCTTATAATCCCACATCTACGGCAGTGTACAAGTTAACAGAATTCAAATTGTGCACCCAATATATCACGAGATGAATTTCCAATGATTTTTCAATTTAGCGTTGATAAAAGGTCATTAATGGTTTCAACGTTTTTTAGTATTGCTACCTTTCAGTTACAAAAAAAAAAAAAGAGAGAGAGAAATTATGAAAATTAGTAATTTTGGTTTATTTAATTATAATTTCCTGTATTTATAGTATATAAAATATTGTGTACTATATCACGAATAATTTTATTTTTATGGTTATATATGATTTTTTCCCAAAAAATTATTCATAAGGTAAAAATATGCGGACATAGGTTAACAAATTGGGCTCAAAGACTAGGAAGCCCACTCTCAATTTAGGGTTAAATCCTAACTGCATTTAGACCTTCCCTCCTCCATTTAAAACTATTCTTTTCCGTTCCAAGAAAACAGGCAATCCAGAGGAAAAATGGTGCAGCGGCTGACATACAGAAAACGGCATAGCTATGCCACTAAATCCAACCAGCATCGGATCGTCAAAACTCCCGGTGAGTTTCTGTCTATGGTAATGGATTTGTCGAAATTAATAGATATTTTTGAGCTTTTTAATGTGTTGACTTGATAGATTTTGTGGGTGTTTGTGTGTGAAAAAATAGGTGGAAAGCTAGTGTACCAGAGCTCGAAGAAGAGGGCAAGTGGTCCCAAGTGCCCAGTTACTGGCAAGAGAATTCAAGGGGTATGCCTTTTTCTTTTATTTATTTGTTCAAGATTGGATAATGGAAATGGCTTTGTTTGTTTACGTTTGGAAAGTATGCATTAATTTGTTGTTTAAAAGTGCTTAATTATGGGTTTTTTTTACAAGTATTATGTTTCTCCTATTCAAACAATTTAGTCGAATGGAAGTGAAAAGATTGTTCTTCTATGTGGATCTCGTCTGGTGGAATTTCATGTTACTGAAACACTTTCGTAGCAAGATTGACACGAGTTGTTAAGAATCAAATGTCCCCAATATTATCAATCTTAGGGTCCTTACAAACTAGTTTCAGAATTTACATTTTTCACTTTAAATACTCCGTTTCTTTCTAAGCTGTTTCATAAAGCATTTGGATGTGTCAATGCTATCTCAATTACGTGGAGCGTGAAATTTGTTGACAATCAATTTTAGGAAACAGATTCTTCCTATAACCTTGTATTCGCTGATGGCAGTAGACAGAGGAGAACCAAAAAACTTTCACTTTGCTTGTTTGAGAACTGCATAAATCTAACTGAACTTTCAATGCATGTGGATCAGTCTAATGAAATCTCAAGTCATGCTAAACAAATGATTCTATATATATTAGAAATCTCAATTTTAATACATTTGTAGTTTCTATTGGCACTAATAGTAGATGTACTCCATTTGCATGCAATAAATTTTTCAATAGTTACTCAAAACGAAAATTTTGAGAGGACCAAAAACTAACAATTGGACTGAACATAAGGCTCAAACATTGAGGTCAAACAGAAACAAAGCCAAAACAATTCAAACCTTGTCTTTTCGTTTTGAATTTAGGTCATGATTTTATTACCAATAGTGTCGGTTTCGTCCAAAGTTTGACTGTAGTGAATCGAATTCTTCCTGCAGTATAACTACATAGAGGTCCTTTTCTGTGGTGTAATTTTCCATAGCTTGTATATCTGTCACTTGGAAGACTTAGCCATTGTTTGGGTAAATTATTAGTAACTTATAAGGAGGAGTGGGTCATATGCAATGTGTGGATAATAAATGATTGGTAGTTAAGAACGTGTAGTTGAAATTAATGTTTTCTTTGACTGAAAAAGTTTCTAGTAATTTTACCCAAACAAAGGCTTAATTTAGATGTCAGTAGTGAAATGCTCTTACCTGTTCATGTATTTGATCACAATGTTGAGTATCATGTGAATTTCAGGCTTTTGAAATCTTGTTTGCTACCCTTAGAAGTGGTAAATTATTAAATTGTTACTGTCAAAAAAATATCTCAAATTTTCCATATTGGCAGATTCCTCACTTGAGACCTGCTGAATACAAGAGGTCTAGATTATCTAGAAACCGGAGGACTGTAAACCGAGCTTATGGTGGGGTTTTATCTGGTGGTGCTGTAAGGGAAAGGTTAGTTTTTAGTATGCTTCCACTTCTTTATCCCTTCAGATAGATTTGTCATATGTATTGCTCTCTGTAACTTCATGAGGCTCTTTCTTCTTGGGTTTTGTAGGATCATCAGAGCTTTTTTGGTAGAAGAGCAAAAGATTGTGAAGAAGGTTTTGAAGATTCAGAAGGCCAAGGAAAGGCTTGCTTCCAAGGCCTGAACTTGACTATGGAGCAATGGTGTTTTTGACAGTGTATTGTGTGGTTAACTTGCTTATTATCATTATTTTCTTCTTATTATCTGAAACGGGATACCTTGTTTTCTTCAGTTTGCCGAAATGTCAATTTAGTTAGGATATGAGTCCTGCTTTTTGGTGAATCTAAACTATTTTTGGGATTTCTCAATGTACTAGTAGTTATTTCATTTAAATGCAGTTATGTGCCAATACCATACAGAAAGTCTGTGTGTTGCAAGATGTACCTTCAAGTGTTTTGAACCAGGTTCAGAGCAAAGGAATTAATTTTTAAGTTAGCTACCTTTAACTGAGATTGCTCCTCCATTTCTTGCGTAAACTATAAATACAAAATAACATAAAATCACGTATTAGTAAATTGAAGATGCACAGTTTGGTTCGAGCTACCTACTATCTCCCAAATAAATGAAAATACTAGTTATATTCTATACCCTTAAAAACGCCCTTGTTCTCAAGCAATAGCAGATCAAGCACAAGAAGAGGTGGTGCGGTCGCTCGTGCTGGATCCATTGGGATTTACAAGTTGGATTTGGAGGGAGGCTGTGTTGGATTTGCAGACTTGTAGTCGCCATTGTTGCAGGAGAAGCTTGGAGCGTGGAAGGAGGAAGATGAATATCTTGGGCCAATTTTTTTTTTTTTCAAATTGTGGGCCATTTGTTTTGGACTTTTTTTTAATTAGGCCAATAAGTTAAATCATTGGCCTTCTCTATCTCTTGTCTCGCGTTTTCCCAAACCGGCAATTGCAAACCCCATTTGGCCATTCCAAAATCAGAAATTGTGGGTGACCAATGAAATCTCCAGCCAAGTACGTGAACCACCTGTGCGTCACCATCCTCCGTCAGACAGACACTGCCTTTGCTCCACCCTACTGCTGTCGTCGACGGTAGGTAAGCCATAATCCTATCTAATTTTTTTCTTTTTTTAGTTTGATTGGTGATTTATAATTTTTACATATTTGTGATTTATATATATTGAATTGTGATCTATAAATATACGTTTGCGACAATTTCTGGATCCGCGACTGTTCTCCAGTGTGTGTTTTGAAAATAATTTTACATTTTTTTCCTTCATTTCCAATTTATGATCTGATGTGAAAAGACATTAAAAGTCGAAATACAATACGCCATCCCACTGAGCTTGAAACTTGTTTTCCAGTAGCCTTTGCAGCACCAGTTTTATGCAGTGTTCTAAAAAGCGTAAAGCGTTGCATAGCGTGTCAATGCGGAGAATAAGCGTTATAACGCGTTTCGTAACGATAATCAAGAATCACAAGTTTAAGCGTATTGATGCGGAGAATATGCGCCATAATGCGTTTGGTACTTTTAATATTATTTTAAGTATAATAAATAGATTTTTATATTAAAAAAAAATTTATATAAAAATAAACATACGCGTACTGTTCTAAATAGCGGAAAAAAAAGCCACTATAGCGTGATTAAGCTCGATAAGGCAGGAAAAAGCATGCTATAGTGCGCTTAATCGCGCAATGTGCTGCTATAGCGTGATAAAGCAGTCAACAAAAAAGGTTGACCGTTATTTTATGCGTATATCACAAAAGAGTCGCGTTTTCTCCACACTCCGCGCTATAGCGGCGCTTTTTCCCGCTATTTAGAACACTGTTTTTATGTGTTGATGCCAATGGCATTTTCACTCTTTTTCGTCACTCTCATATCCTTTGTCGAAGATTGTAATTTGCTATCTTCTTCAGGTGCTCGGTTCGTGACTTGCTATGATACCAATTAGTACGAACATAAATAGTTCATCACGAAAATACTAAAATTAAAATGAGAAAAAAATGGAAGGTAGATTATATCGAGAAAACCCGAACCTGATTTTGAAAAATCTGGTGTAGGGATAGGGGATTATATATAAATAATGTTGAGTCTACATAAAATGATGGTTCCCTTGATATATTACATTAGCAACTATACTGTGTAGTCATTCTAATTTCAATATATTTGTGTCGATCATTACAGCAAAACTCATTTTTTCTTGAACTTATTTTCAACCACATTCTCACAATAAAATATTTTGTACGTAAATTTAAAATTTTTTACCAAATATTTTTCAAAAAAATTACTATTTCAAAACTTATTTTCTCGAAAAAATCGTTTAATGATTGTCAATCATTGGCTAAATATAAGTGTGAGTATTTATTTCCCAAAAATCTAGACTTTTATGAATAGTGTAGATTGTTTGAAATGAAAAAGGAACAAGTACAGGAGGAGGAAGCAACTAACTACTAGGGTGAACGCGATTCGATTTGGGCAGTTTGTGCCATATTTTCAACTCAACCATTTCATGCGGTTTGGAATTTTTTCAAACAAAACCAAATCATTTTATCTTTCGAACCAAACCATAAATTGCGGATTTGTTCTGTTTTAATCCGCGATTTACCTATCGACATTATAATAATATATTTAAAATAAGTTAACATATAAGTTTAAATGAGAACTAATAATATTAAATGTTAAATTACCCTCATCTTTCTCAATCGTGAATAAATTATTTTCCGAGTTGGTTGCTAAAAGATGTTAATAAAACGAATATATCTTTCTTCCTTTTTATTTAACTATTCTTGTTTGCTTTTCATATTGTCATATAGCGGTTGATAAAGATAAGTCACATTCTGCTGTAATAGTTTGGTTAAAATTTCTTTTATCCTACTAATGAGATGAAAAATAAGGATTGAACATGATATGTTTAAATATACAAAGAATATAGAGTTTATGTTTATTGAAAATTGACAAATTTTATTATCTAACGACTTTGAGAAAGTAGAATGTAGTAGTACTATAACATTTTCACACAATCTACACTCTATCTTTCGTTTTTTCTAAATCACAAACAAGTTCATTAATCACCTATGCACATAAACGTTCATATTTTTTTTCACCTATATATGCACATAAACATTCATATTTTTTTTAATCTAAATCACAACTCTTAAGTGTATAATAAGTTCAAAAACAACAAATGAAAGAGAGAACAATAAAAAAAATGACTTGAATAGGAATCTAAGAAATTGGCAGACTAACAAGCAAAATACGACTAGCAATTTGCGATTGGGAATCACATTTCGTTCAATAGTGGCAGACAAGCATCAAATGTTTGAGAAATGAGAGTTTGGGTTAGGGCTTTTGAAGTTGTGGGCGTGATATATTGTCGTAGTTTTGTTGAATTATGATTTGAATTATTAAAAATAAATGTTTATTTTATTTCATATGATTTGAGATTAATTTTAGTTTAGATTATATATCGAGTCAGGACGTGTGTTGTAGACTTGTAAAACCATCAGCCAATAATGATGAACTTACTTTACTTTATAAGATTATTTCAATGGGTTAGTTGTAATTCGTATTGCTAAATTGGTATTTTTTGCTAAAACGTGAAAATTTATAAGTTAATAAAATTATTTTTTTTACTTAAAAATTTTGAAAACGGTTTGGTTCAGTTTTATGCGGTTTTTGAAACCCGAACCAACGGTTTCAAACTAATGGTTTCGGTTCGTTTTGCGGTTTTGCGATTTTTTTTGTGCAACCCTACTAACTACAGCAAAATTGGTATATTAAACTCGGGCAAAATAGAAAAATCATTGATTTATATCTAATCATATTGTAATGCATTCATTAGAGAAATCCAATAAGCTTACTCACTAATCATTTACTAAATAGTATTTATGTGTAAAGTAATTATGAAATTTTCCGAAAATATAAATTTGTGTCTCGGTTGGTTTATCTTAAATTCAAATCTCTTATTGTTCGTAATGCACTTCAAATCTAGAGATTGAAAATAGACTTCAAAGTTGTGAAAAACAGAAAAAATCTTTGGTGATGTTAGTGAACGAGAGAAACACAGGGAATTTATATTTAGTTAATTAAGCTCCTATTTGATTCTACTAAAAAAGCTATTGAAAAATATTAGTAAAAATTAATAATTAATTTTAAACATAAATTTTATGTAATCCACAACTTTTAAACGTCACGTCTTATTGCTATATTTAATGTAAACTTTCATTAATTCCATATAAATTTATAAAAGTTATCACTTAGAAAAAGTCCATAAAAATCTTTGAAAGTTCCCATTGAATACAAATTTACATTCAAAAAACGAAAGAGAAAAAAAAGATCGATTTTTACCTATGTTTGGCTCATATTTATGAACATATACAAGACATCTTAGTAAAGTTGAGTGATGAGATACCATTAATTATGTGGAACTCCAAAAGAAAAAATTGTAAAATAATCTAAAGGGCTAAACTAATTGTACCACAATTGAGCGTTTTTGTCCAATCGGTACATAGACACAATACAATGTCTCACTCTCAGAGATTGCCTTCGAATTCAATTTCTTTTTGTTTAATATGGTATCGATAGCAATAACTATTTTTCAAGTTTGTCGGTTATCGATTATAAGTTCTCGTTGACCACAACATATAGGAACCATGCTTTTAGTAGAATTGACAATGGGTCCTGGTCCAACTAGAAAATAAAGTGAAACTCGATCTTGAGATGTATCGACAATATGTCTCTTCTAGGCCGACAAAAAATTATTTTGGTCAACAAAGAAATGACCAACTAAGTAATTTTATTGGTCGGTAAAGAAGCGTTTTCACCTACTTTTTTTTGGTTGGTCAAAAAAATCTGATCGAGAAAGCCATAGTCGGTTGTAGTGACAAAAATGGATCTTCACAAAATTACAAAAGAGATGCGAGGTTTCGATTGGTTCGATTTTGGGGACATTAAAAAGCAATATTTTTCTTAAGTTTGATTTGAGTTCTGGGATTGGATTTTTGGGTGAAAATCGATTTTGTTGGGAATCTTAGGTTTGAGCCGAATATTTTGGATTGAGTCACGTCAAATATTACCAACGAATCACCTAGGGAAATATCTGACGGTGATTTTTATACAATTTTTGGTTTTTTGTTGTAAATTTATCGACGGAAATACCATCGAATAAATATTATA